GAACAAAGTCACAGTCGAATAAGAATTTGCAGTTTACGTTTCAGTGGTGACAGCTTTGCAAATAAAGCACGAAATCGCCTTCAAAAATTTGCAATTCCTTCTTACCAATTAGGTGACAGGTTTACTTCCGATGGTAAGATTCTCCTGTGTAATTAGCAAACGGCCGAATTTACTTATCGACTGGTCTATGTATGTTTTAGAAGAATACAAAAATAAATCTTATATTAAGGAAGATGTATGCATTCACACTGAAATTAACACTGCAAGCATTGGGTGCCAGGCAGGATGTTCATATCAAAAAGGTATTTACATTTAGATAGCTATAGTTGTTCAACTATTTATGGCTCAGTTTATTTGCTAAAGGTTGTCGAAAAAAAAACGAAAATGTCATAACGTATTTGCTAATGGAAATGGGCATTCTTTTAGGGACACCCATTTTGTTAATAAATATAAAATAAATAATTAGTTTGTTAATAAATTTATATAAAAATAATATAAAACAAATATAATTATAAAAATAGAATTTTAATTTTTCCCAATGTATTTAGCTAATTTAGCTAATTATTGTAATAAAAAGTACCTAACATTTAAATTTATTTTTATAAGGCTTAATGTAATCATGCTCTACTACAAATCTTGAAAAAGAAGCTATCAAGCAGAACGAAAAATTAAACCATTAAAACCGAACAAGACTTAAAAGGTTTGACAACAGAAAATTTCTATTCTTAACACTTCCAGATGGTCTTTTAAATTTTCAAATCAATACTAAACATGGAAAAAAATAGGAATTTAATGAAGTACATATTTGAAACACTCTATTGAATTCACTGATAAGAATAGATTTTTTTTTTATTGTCAAACCCTTCAAGCCTTGTTCTGCTTTAAGGAGGATGATTACGTTAAGTCTTATGAAAATATATTTAAATATTCAATATTTTTGTGCGAGAAGCGTTTGCTTCTATATTTTTTTAAAAATGTTCATTTTTTAAATTTATGGAAAAAAGTTTTAATGAAAAAATATTTTTTTGGTAAACGCATTCTGTGCATTAGAGAGAATTTCTTTACTGAACAACACTGTTTTTTATTCCTACTTAGATTCCTCATTTTATTGAGATAGGCGATTTGGGCGGACATTTGACATCTCCTTTTCAACCAATAAGACCTAGCGGCGTTCAACAAGCAACTTGGCCGTTAATTCAACAGGTTTTAGTTTAGATGTAGCAATTTTACGGCGATATTTTCTTAAAAATGATGGATCGCTGTTAGAAAAATGTTTTTAATACCAATGTTATGCCAATCTTTCCATTCAGTTTTTTTATTCATGCCTCATAGTGTGCGGTTAGGCACTAGCAATATAACTTCTAATAATTTCTATTAGTTTAACCTCTTGGTGCAACAAACTCCAACAACCAACAAAACGCAGGCCTTGAAATAATAACTCTTTGTGCTATTAGTTAATGGAAAACGGTTTGGCACAGAAGGAAGACTTCTTGGATTTTGACACAAATTTTACTCGTTAGTTCTACATCGACACAAATCATCCCAGTCAAATTAATAGATAAAAAGACAACCAAACGGATGTTTTAAGTCTCCCAGACTGTCGTAAAATCAAATGTCAGGGTTTAGCAGCATTAATACCGGTCTAATTAAAATTATTATAACCAGGGGAGTCCGTGAGCACAAACTTTCCTTACCTGTGTGCGAGTTTGAATGTCTTTATCCGCCACATAGATCATGGGAAACTTGGGGCCTTAATTAAGACACTCCGGGTTTATGAAGCGGACATTCTTTTCCGGGGCTCAAAATTTTATTGCCGATTTAATGACGATTTATAGGGGGCTAGTTGCTTAACAATCCGCGCATAACATGGTAATCTATACTACCCAAAAACCATTTCAAGTCGAAAATCATTCGGAAACGGGATCGAAAACTTCAGCTACATCGATAATAGCTCGCTCGCATCGTTAAACAACTAAAAAAGAATCTCCGTGACTTAATTATTATTACAAACGAGTCAATTAAAATGTCCGATTTTATGAGTACTCGAACACGAACGTGTATGTTAAATGCAGTAATCGATTTGCTTTTCCAGTCAGATTTCCGTCAACCCGTAAACGCAAATGTTTACACACTTAAGGGCGTAATAGAGCGTGGCAGGAGCGGTTTTTAGTGGAGCGTTTGAGCAGACATCAATCGCTGGCGCTATATGCGAATATCTGCTTTATGGACCACTTGTTGAACATGGTGTAGCATTGAGAGGAGCTATCGCTTTTACCATGCTCTTCGTAAGGCGAAATTCGGACCACATAAAAAAAATCCTAACTTAGAGTGAATTACAATATTCCAAATTAAAAGCAAATTAATTGGCATTATATTGGAAAAAACTTTTACTATATAAAGATACACTTATGCATTATGATAAAAAATGTGCTCTACATTAACTCATATATTTAAAAATAATTTTCTATTAATTACCATTAAACAAACGCATATTACATTTACCTTCATATGACACTCTCTATTGAGTTTGTGCATCCTATTGACCCACTATTTGATCCAGGCTATCAAAGCGAGAGTCTATCTTTTCAATTGATCTTCCCTTTTGTTGCTTTCCTGCTAATTGGCAGACTTGTAGATGCCATATATTTCGTTCCACTAGGTTAATTAATACTAACTAAATAATGCAATCAAACAAAAATGCCAATTTTTCTCGCACTCTTGTCCCCTATAGATTCACATTCTGTTCGCAACAGTCGTCTCAGTTTATTATATTTATAAATATTTTTGTAAGTAGTGAAACAATTTTACTGGAAGTATGTATGAATTATGTGTATAACATATTTAATTTTATGTTGTCTTCAATGATTAAATTTAGTGGTATTGGTAATATTTATAATATAGTTTTCGTCGTCAAAACAACTTACAATTTCAGTTAAAACCATGAGTTGAGTCACACTAACATTTGTCGATGATATTATTATGTTTTATTGTATTATATTTTCACTGTGGTGTCACCGCAATGTTATCAAAAAATACATTTTAAAGCACTTAGGCATATATTATAGCATATAGTATTTATCTTTTTTTGTAGAGCTTATTTTTCAGAGATAACGAAAAATAACACAGATTTAAAACCTTATGTTAACAGAGCATCGGTAACATAAATCTTCTGCACTTCTATCCAAGATAGCAAATAGTGATTATCCCGTTGTTCAGCCAGTAATTGGTCTTTCAAATGTTGCTTCGGAAAGGAATTAAGAACAGCATTTTTAAGGACTAATGGACGAATAATGTTAGTAAGTGAGGTCACCCCCATGTTAAAAACACAATTAGCATTTATTGAGTTGAAGTTATATCATATTAATCCGGTTGTTATAGGATTTTTTTTCGCAGAATATATTAGGGGAGTAGAAATAAGACGAAAATAAATACATGGTGACAAATACACGTTAGTGTGAGAAATGTCATATTCCCAAGAGTTGTAACAATTTCAACGTATTTACGGCTTCTATATTATCTAATATCAGATCTTACAGCCAATATGCAAGGTCAAAGCCACTAAATTGAAAGTCTAGTTTTTATTTACAGCGACCTAATGACTAACGGAATTAGGCTTGTTAGCTCTTATTTAGACGTCACACATGAAAAACGTAATTTTATTTACCGCTATTTTTATTGTTTTAAAATAAGAATATAATGAGGGATCCAATAGTTTGATAAAGTACTCCATTATTTATAGTAATTTGGACAAATGGACAGTGGCGTATGGTGCAAAATCTTACCGTTAGATTCGAGTAAATCTAAAAACACTAAATTTGCAAAAATATTGATAATTAAAAATTATGTTTCCAAAAACCAGGAGCCATACATTAATATTGTGACGAGCGAGCCAGATTATGAGCCCGAGCCTGAACCTTCCAAAAACTCAGGCGTGCGCAGAGATTAGTTCGATATCATTAGACACTCCCTTTTTAGAAAGACCCCGAATGTTCCACCTCAATCGCGAGCAGGCGCTGGATTCTATAAACGCAGAGTGCAGAGTTCATTAGTCAGTTAATTGAAAAATGAAGCCGGCACGGGCAAGTATATCCAAATTAATAGTCGGATATAAATACAGACATTACATAAATTCCTAGTATTAGTATCTTTGGTGACTTTGATGTTTTGGACGAAGTAAGCTAAGTTCCGTTGAGTCTTAAACGGAGTGAAAACGTAACGATATGTTGACAAAAATTTAGTTTTGTACATGATTTGAATAAAGATCGAAGCCAAGGGCAAAATCCTAAAGTAGAATATAAAAATTTTGAATATGTATTTGTACATGCATATTCTAAAGCGAGGAGATTCGAGAAATTGGGCCGAAATGCAGTTTTTACCTACTAAACAGCTAAGCAGTAAATGCCTGCCTACGTTGCACTTTAGAGAAGTTATGCATAAGTCCTTGTCGCCTTATGATCCGTGTTTCACGTGAAAATCTGCGTGATAATGAAATTAGTGCTGACGGTTTCACCAGATGATATTTCAATTATTTATAATAGACACATGAAGAAGAGAAAAAATTATTATCTTGTTATTTTATCTTTTCAAATAACCTCTTTTTGTAACATTCCATTCAAAGTGAACGAGCCTATGTCGTTATGGGTGATATATTTTAGGGTCTGAGCTGGTTCTGCTATTAGCAAAATATGTAAATATTTCAATTTCACAACGGAACAAGATTAAACTTTTAACCACGAATACCAATAGTCGCTGGGTAGATAAAACAATCTTCTCCATTCGATAGTGCCGTATCGATTTCACATAACATGGATGAAATAAGGGCAATAGGATGCGACGCACGTCCGACAGTTGTCCATCAGGCTCGGATTTGACAGTTTCGATGGCAACAAAGCCCATTCGAATGTGCCGGCCTCCCCGGTAACTGCCGGTATATCGTAAACTCTCATTTGGGACTGGATAATGCACGGTGGTAGAAGCGGCTAACAGTGTGCCGGAAAGGGATGAGGGATACCGTCAATTTTCTCACTGAAAACGTTCCATCGAGTTATAGAAATCACGTAAGTTTTTTATATCCCGGAACGTATTTTGGGCAAATAACCATTCCGCTTGATGTCGAATTACTTAAGTTGGCAAAAATCAGGCAAAATAAAGGCACAGACATTTGCATTCCACACGTAGGAAGAAATTATCGAAAAATATTACGACAGGAAGAACGCCACGTCTGAGAACACAGCAATCGAAACGGTTTACAGTCTACGGTATTCCAGTTAGAATTACAACGTTTGGTATCTACGTGCTCTTGGCAAAATTGTACGTTGGTTGTTCAGGGACGGCAAAGCAATTAAAACAATCGAGGTTTTGCTTTTCGAATAGCAATCGGAAACCGGGGTCACAAGCTCGGCAATGGAAAAAATAAGCAAACAAACAATTATGCAAAATTGCTTAGGGGAAAATTAGTTACTTAATTTGAATAATCTTCCATCATTTTTAATCCTTTCTTCTTTGCATTGACAACGACTATAGCCAATTTTTCATAAATACATATATGTACATGTATATATATATATATATATATATATATATATATATATATATATATATATATATATATATATATATATATATATATATATATATATATATATATATATATATATATATATATATATATATATATATATATATATATATATATATATATATATATGTATGTTTAGAAAAACCGTCTTTATGATAATTTTGAGTAAGCCGGTAAAATCATGAAGACCCTGTACATCTCAGTTTTAACTCTATCGACAACTAAAACCTAGAAAGCTGGTCATATGCAGCTAAGAACTTTCAACCTGACCAATAAAAAATTTACTTCAAAAAAGATGGAATAAACATTAAAGTAATTTGTTATCGATGTAAGTCAGGTGGTGGCTTGAAAAAACAGTCAAAAAAGTTTTAATATTTCAATATTTCTTGAAGTGACTTTTTTGTTTCTAAAATCATCAAATCAAATCATAATTTTTGGCATTTTTGACAAAGAATTTTATGAGTCAGTATATATTACAAGAATATCAAGATTTTCTTTTACATTAAAACCAAATAAACGAATTATATGTTTTTTAATCATTGAAATTAAAAGAAAGCTTCACAAAAACGGTTCAGCATGTTTTGATTTTTTTATCTCAACTGGATAAATTCGTACTGAAACATTCCGATTGAGATAAACGGTGTAAATTCTAAAATCACGATTTTGTTCAAAATTGAGTTCAAGTGCCTATTTTGAAGGATTTGTTTACATTTTTATTCGCAAATTCTTATCTTCAGTTCGCAGCTACTTGTTTGTCGATAGTAGATAAAATCGCCTATAAATTTAACCCTTGTACACCATCGTCAAACATTAAAATGTTCCGTTCTTTACTGTTACTAGGCTCGGTGGCCCTAGCCACTTGTTTGTCCATCTCTTCCGAACTGCCCACCAACTACGAGTACTACACCTCAGATGGTATCAAATCTGGACTATCCGTTGATCAACCGTACTTCACCCTGAATAATAAAAACATTTCCATATACAGCGGCGCCATGCATTATTTTCGGGTACCTAGAGCATACTGGTCGGATCGATTAAGAAAAATTAGAGCAGCCGGTCTCAATGCAGTCGAAACTTACATAGCTTGGAATCTCCACGAACCCGAGTCAGGTGAGGGAAAAGTTGTTTTTAATTCGTACTGTCTTCAGATCAAAAGCGATCGGGTTAAATACGAATAGCAAAACTGAACGTCGTGTAATAATATATCGTATCGTCAGTACAAAGGGAAAAGTCCTTTTGTAAATTAGAGAAAAACTGTACTAACGATGGTTTTAAAAATACGATCTGAAGGTAAAAACAGAAATTCTAGAATGTTTTATTTCGATTATTTTTAAAAAGATGTACATCCATGGAATGATGTTAACATTATTGTAATCGTTTTCGTCTCTAAGTCAACCTATGTTTTTAATATTCATAGTAATTCACAAATTGAGAGCAGGGCTCGTATAAACTGAATAGTAAGATTTTGTTGAATTTGGTCATATACACGAGTGACATTTGCTTCGTCATAAAAGTTGCATTTATAGAGAGTATTTCAAAAAATATTTCGTTATTTTCTAAGGAAAATAGAATATTAAAAAATAACGTATATTTTTAATTATTTCTGAAACGGATCATCATTCCTAAATAAGATTAAGCCCACAAGTACCAACAAACATTTTTTATGTGAATATTTTGTTTTTTTTTTGGAAAAAAATGTGTTTTTCAAAAAATTTACTGGTTTTTGAGATTTTACCATGTAAAGCTGACCGAATTAACATGTTTTTTTTTAGTAATTAATTATTAATTATTTCAGAAACAGTAAAAATGTTATAATTGTATTTTTGGGGTTCAATTAAGAGAGCTCCGTCTTCATCGTTATTTGCCAAATTATTTTTTAATATTTTCTTTACTCTAAACATTAGCGGTAAGTTTTTTTATATAGGTTACAAGGAGAACAAAATTTTTAAAAAATCGAAAGGCGAACTGTATTTTCTAGATTTTCGATTCCGAAATTCCTATCCTGTTCATATTTGCTCAGTATAGGAAAAATGTGGTAGAAACGAGGGTAGAAAGTTTTGTAATAATTCTGGAACTAACTGTTAAGCTATTAAGTGACATATAAAGGGTGTAGTTGTAGAGATTTACGAATCCTTGAAAAAATTATTTTTCAAGATAATCGTCCGTTATTTGTTTTAAAGAACACCAACAACAGCTTCTTGTAGGCCCTTTTAAAATGCAGATTCAGAGCTTTCGATTTTGCGTATATACCGTATATTAATGTAATATTAATATTAATTATTAATTAAATAAATATTTAATAATAATAATAAATAATAAATTATTAAAGCAATATTAAACTGGCAGCGAAGGTGTAATTAGAACCTCTCGAAAGCTCAACTTTAGGAAATCTCAATTAAATAAGTGTGCCATCACGGAAATACTAAATTTTTCTAAAATGCTCTATTTATTGTATTTCGAATGATGACCATATGGCAAGTGTGAAGATTTTTGGTTAAAAATTTGTTGAAACTTTACAAAAAAAAATTGAAATTCGCACTTTCAACTGATCAACTTGAGGTCGTGTAAAAAGGATTATGATGTATATAGTTTTTGACCAAAATTTTTTAATTTGGGCATCAGCAATATGAGAGATGGCTCTGGATCTCTATTTTAGAAGCGATTTACTGGTCGCAAACAGTAGTTGTTGATGCTTTTTAGGACAAAAAAAAGGAATCAATTACTTTTAAAAGTAAAGTTTCTACTGATATGTACACAGGTAAAAGTAGACATACAAGGACAATTACAAATGTGTACATAGGTTTAACGATATTCCTCTTTCTTTTTTAATAGTCGTAGATATAGACGCACAAAGCTGCAATTACAAAATTACCAAACAAAATTCTGCTAAATCGCATATGTTTTTATTACCATTATTCCTGCAAGTAATATATTATTTTCTAAAAATTTTAAGGCTATTATGATTTTGGTGACGGCGGTACTACAATGGAAGACTTTTTGCACCTAGAAGAATTTTTCGAAACCGCGAAACAAGAAGATTTGTTCGTAATTGTTCGACCGGGACCGTATATCTGCTCGGAATTCGAATTTGGAGCTTACCCCAGTTGGTTACTAAGGGAAAAAAACAACATCAGAGTCAGAACGTCTGACGAAGTATATACGAAATACGTAAGCAGATGGTTTAATGTGCTGATGCCCATTTTGGCAAAACACCAATTTACCAAAGGCGGACCTATCATTTCCCTGCAAGTGGAAAACGAATACGCGTATTTCAGCGGCGTGGATAAAGAACATTTGAAACAGCTTAGGCAACTGATGTTGGACAACGGTAAATCCACCTCTTAAGACGCATAGTGAAGTTTAGTAAATTCTTTCTATACAGGTATCGTCGAACTTTTAACCACCACTGACAACCCGTCTTATAAATCTTCCGGTACCATTCCCGATTTATTCTTTATGACCGGAGATTTTGGATCCAATGCGGCATCGAACTTTCAGCAGTTGCAAAGTGTACAACCAAACAAACCGGTTATGGTGATGGAATACTATACAGGTTAACATAAAGTTACTTGCGAAGTAATAAAACCTCGTTAAACAAGTAGAAGAACGACAGTGCGACCCACAAATAATAATTTATACGAATTCAATAGTGGGGCATAAAAATTTGTTCCTTTTTATGAAATGCTGGTAGGACCACTCGGTTTTAGGTCAATTTATTTAGTTTGCCCATTGTCCTGTAACAAATATAAAAAGAAATTAACCCCATTTTTATTCTAACAATAAAACTGTATTACACAATATTGAGTCCAGTCATATTTCGACACACACTTACAGGCTTTATTACCAGTCACATCAAGAAATCGGAAATACAAAAATTGTGAAGATACCCTATAATTAATTTTAAATAATATGCAATTTATTACAGATTAATAAGGGTGATGTTCGTCTTCGTCTGAAGAACTGTTTTCTTTTCTTGATATTATTAGGATGGATCTACCGTTCGACGAACCTTCTTATTTCGTTCAAAATGACTCAATGTCAATCAAATTTCTTTTAGAAATCCCTCTTCACTCCAACAAACACATTCTTGGTACTACAGAATCCTCATAAATCCACGTCTTATAAAGATAAGTGCTTCATCACTCTCATTGCTATTATGCTTTTTGAAAGCGCAATACCAGTTTCCTTCTTATATAATGAAGAGTGCGAGTATTTCATTTTTAAAATAAGATGAAGAAATATTTCATTGTTTCATATAAAACCATCATTGTATTATATCTATATCTATATCTATCATATATAAATTTCAAAGAATGATTTTTCGTTCACTAATATTCCTCATTTTACTGATATCGTTATTACTGTTGACATTGTAGATTAACAGCACATACGGAAAATTTTTATACGTCATTAAGAGTATTTATTTATGTTAATATATCGTAATTTTCCCCCCAGGACCATGGACGACCTTTAAATCTAATAGTACTCAACAAAATCTCCTGTCTTATTACTCCGCGCTATTTAGAAACAGACTTTAGATAAGTTGAATGTAGATGTCTGCAATAAGTAAAATTCGCTTCCACGCATAAACATAAATTGTATACTTTAATAAATTGACTCATAAATTGACAGCTAGCGCTGTCGACGACCATGTTGAACGCCAAAATCTTATTGGTTGAGACCGTCGTTTGAAATAACTTAGATTGAGTATCAATCCGATTACTTTTTTTATGTTCATAACCACAGTAACGTGTATTATCGGCATAGTTACGGCCTCTACATTCAATATCGCTAGTCGCTATAGGAAGATTTTTGTGTGCTCTCTCAAATAGTAGTATTTTTTAACAGGCGGAAGTGACGTATGGGGAGTCACACACAACGGGCACAAGGATGCAGCCGAGTTTGGACAAACCTTCGAAGATATTCTGGCCTATCCAGGTTCGGTAAACATTTACATGTTTCACGGTGGAACCAGTTTTGGATTTTTAAGTGGTGGGACGAGCTCGAACAATGACGACTACAATTCAGGTAGAAAATTTCTTTCAAAAGTTTCAGTAGCACTGTTTAACTGTGTATTGCTCACTAAACATGTTTGTCAAACAATAAAACATATTTGAAGAGAGATTTCGATATGCAAAGGCGATATAAAATTCAAAATTTTCTAAAAAGAATAGACTAGAATAGATGTTTATTTTTGCAAAAAAAAGGCACAATAGAAAAACCAAAAGTTAAAAAAGAGGGTCAGTTTATTTTGTAGGTATTTAGTTTTATTTAACACAGTTTGATTTAACACAAACTCTGTCGAGAGTAAAAAGGGAAACGTCGTTGAAAAACAAATGTTTATCAGAAAACGTAATATTAGGTGCATTATCATAATCGAGCAAAATATTTAATAATTTATTATTTTTTGTTAGTTGACACCAAAAAAAAGTTGCCTAAGCAAGTACTAATTAATTTTATTTTTCTGCGGATAAAAATTCAACTGGAAGTTTACGGAGATTTCTTTGTAATACTTTTTTCAAAATCCCAACGCACATAACACACAACACAACACATGACCGCTGACAGTTCGTCAATTTGACAGTTTGGAATTTGGATGTGACGATTTTATGGTAGCATTACATAAAAATATGCTTAGGGCCCGTTAAAACGAGAAAACGAGTTAGCTCGATGTGGTTATCTCTGTTTTGAAAGAAAATGGCGCAAATTGCTAGGTTAGTGTACGAAATTTAAGGACATGCGCGAAACATCATTCCCTTTTTTACGAAAATGTCGTAGCCACCTTACGACCATCACTTTTTACTGCCCCTACGACGGCTATATTATCTAATAACTATTATACGCCTTTGGCCGGGAACTGTTGATTTTAACGCCGAACTTTTGAGTTTCGCAAGGAGAAACTAGCAAGAAGCATATAACACTGTAATGCAAAACTAAATTTTAACCTCTGATTGAATTTATTATTATATATCCAAGACGAACAATTTGCGCCATATTTTCACTTCGTTCATATTAATAGACTGTAACTTACTGTAGACCTTGGTAATACAAATTTCTTTTGTAGGTTTTGCCGGGGGTAAGATAAACAATTACGATTTCGATGGTTGTTTAAAAGAAGACGGCGACTACGGCGAGAAATATTACATTGTCAAGGACTTAGTGGCAAAATACGTCCAAATCCCTACCAAGTTACCACCGATGCCGGAGATCATACCGAGGGTTGCTTATGCAAACGTGGCGATAGAAAAGGAAATACCATTGGGTATACTTTTGGCAACGGTGCCGTCTGTTAAAAGTGTGAACGTAATAGGCATGGAAGATATGGATATCAACAACGGTAGCGGGCAAAGCTACGGATATACAATTTACCGAAAACGAAATTTAAACCTAAAAGCTGGTTCAGTTTTGAAAATCGTCGGTAGGGTTTGCGACTCGGTTATAGTATTGGTGAATGGCATACGAGTATCTCCGATTTTGGAAACTGTCGCTGATTTAAATCAGTTTGGTACATGGACCACGGTTAACTCAACGATAACCCTCACTGACGTCGACCTAGAGGATGCTACGGTAGATTTGTTTGTCGAAAACTGGGGCCGTGTATATTTCGGTTTATTTAAACAATATAAAGGACTCTGGCAGGGTGGAGTCGAAATCAACGACGAGCCTATTTACTCCTGGATCATCTACGCGCTGGAATTTAAAAAATCCTGGACGAATTCTCTGAAATACTGGACAGATGTATCATCTACATCGAGCATTGATGAACCGAGGTTGTTTAAAGGCAATTTGGAAATAAACGATACCCCAAGAGACACCTACGTCTATATGGAAGAATGGACAAATGGCATTGTTATAGTTAATGGATTTGTACTCGGCAGATACAGAAGAATGGGTCCCCAACAAACCTTGTATCTCCCCGCTCCGTTCCTAAAAAAAGGCTCTAATGATATTGTAATTTTTGAACATTTCAGGCCTAAAGGCTATGTTAGTTTCGTTGCCGATCCCATTTATGCGGTGCATTAAATGCTCGTCTATTAAAAATTATACCAACAAAATTACAGCGCTTAAACGATTTTTTTATTGTTGGTTAACACTCCGCGCTTGCTTTTTGTGTAACGCAAATATGATTGCAATATTAATTATATTCTGTAACCAATGTTTGCCGGAATATAATTTTTACACCAAAGACACCGTTATTTATCAACAAATCAGACAAAATGAAATCGTTGGTCGCTTCTCTTATGACTAAGAATGGTGAATGCGCTGGGTAAACCGTTAAGAATAATAAAACAGAAAATGTGTTCCTGGTCTAATGTGTGATTTTGTTATAGTGATAATAGAAAATCATTTACTTTCAACATTTAGATTAGTTTTATGCTAAAAAAATAACGGTTATTTACTTATTTAATTACATAAAATAATATAGAATGAGCGGTTCATTTAAAACATGGCGCCTTTACGGGTAATTCTAACAAGAGAATTAGAACTTTTTTATGAACATAGCGATTTGATTGAAATAATATTAAATGGTTGTTGACGATGAGCGAATGATCCTAGTAGTTTTAACCGGCATTGGAAAGTTTTCGACATTTTGACATTATGGTAGATTCATATAAGTAGAAGAAAGAAGAATTATCTCTGCATAGAGAAGATCCGAAAATCCTCGACATTTAGAACTTCAAAATTTAGTCTCCTTCCTGGAGAAGATCCGAAAATCCTCGATTGAAGTCGGCAATGGGCGAATGATCGTAGTAGTCGTGCCCAACAGTTTTTTGTGAAACGCATAATTGAATTGAATTGAATTATCTCTGCACCTACGAGAAGAATAAATTAAATATTTACTTAAGTTAGAATTGAATAAAAAGTAAGGGGATGTCACAACAGGCTTTGAGATCAACTGTTAAACAAGTAAAACCAATTTTATCATTGAATAATGAAGAAGGACGTCAAAGGGTACTTAATTTGTACAAAGCGTGGTATCGTCAGATTCCTTACATAGGTTTGAACAAAATCCTAATTTTAACCTCACTGGTTTTATGTAATATACTTAATATCTTGCAGTACAAACATATGATATTCCTAAATCCATTGAGCAGTGCAGGGAGAAATTAAGAGAAGAGTTTAATAAATATGGTCAAATTAAAGATGTACGTCTTGTGGATATGTTGGTTATCAAGGTAAGAATAATTGAAATTTCAATACTTAATTAATATTTATTCTGTGTTTGAAAAAATTTCTCAGCCTTGTCAAAGTTGGAGCCTTAAAAATAATGACACACATTTGAAACACTATCAAAATTTGTTGGACAAATACAATTCTGTGCTAAATGGAGGTATTTCTAGGGACAAATGGAACTAAAGGAAACAGTAAACGTCTGGAAACAAAAGGGCCATGTTATGTCTTACTTCAAGGATACAGTGGAACCCAAACCCAAAGATTTTTTATCAAAATTTCTTTCTGGTAAAGATTAAAAAACATTTTTCTGTGTATGTATAGTGGTAATTAAAAACTTCTAGTTACAGCTCTTAGACTTATTTTATAATTACATACCCCCCGAAATTTCAAACTAATAAAGATTTGAGCCTAACTTGGATGTTTTTGACATCAAAACATTAAATTAATAGCTGCCTGCTTAACAAGTGTTCAGAGGACAAGATTTCACATGAGTATGAAAGGAGACCAGAATTACTTAAAAAATATATTTTGGTCATTTTATAAGAGTAAATAGAGAGCAAATTACATTTCAATTTAAATGAAAATTTAATATCATGGTTTTTCTATTGACTTTTTTGGAATGGTTTGTTTCTAGTAAACCTTGATATCATATCAAATGCCCATTGAGGTTGATCAGCTGGAACCATGTGTCCGGCATCTCTCACTAAGATCTCTGTTAAATTGCCCGCCTGTTTCACATAACCTGCAATTTCACCAGCAACAAACCATTTTAATCTCTTTGCAGTTTTATATTGATCAGCACCACTAAACTTTAAATTTTGTAGAAAATTTACTGTTAGTGGATACGCAACAATAATATCCAATTGGCCATTATAGATTAACACACGGTAGCTTTCTAAAAGATCAGATATCCAGGGAGCTACACTTTGCATCACATCTGTCAATAAATTGGTTTCAACATCTTGTGCAATTCCATTAAAAGTAGTATTCCCAACATGAATAGCAGCTCTTATATCATTCCTTTGCACATAAGCACCTAGGAGCTTTATCTCGGCGTCATTGGGATCTATAGGGTATAGAAAATTGAAGTAGTTGTCGAAACCAGTAGAATTTTTAAACACTGAAGAGTGGTTGTTCATATCACCATTAAGCAATGAGTCAAATACCTCAAAAGCTTTGGCAAAATCTTTGTTCTGAATATATTTAATTCCTTGTTGCTCAAAATTTTTCACTAATTGTTGGGTGTTCAAATCAATGAGACCAATTTGATACAAATAGTCCCCATATTTGAGTTGATGTTCTGGATCACACAAACCATTACCAATACTTAATCCTTGCAGATTTATTTTAATTTTGGCAGATGGATTATTTTGGTGTATGGTATATGCAATTGCAGGTACATATTTCCCTGCATAGGACTCACCTGCCACAAAGAAATTATTTTTCTGTAATTCTGGAAACAAAGTGAAAAACTGCAGCAGAGCCGCATACAAATCATTACCCACTTTGGTTTCATTTTGTGCATTTCCTTTGTTTGTAAAACTGTAACCTGTGCCCACAGGGTTGTCAATATATAAAACAGAATGGGTTTTAGTCCAAGCATAAGGTCTTAGTTTTAAACCATGTTTCGGCTTGACTATAAATGGGCCATGTTCTGCAAAAAGGCCAATTAAACTAGATGCTCCTGGTCCACCTTGCAACCATAAAAGAACCGGCGCGTTGGTATAGTCCGTCTGGGAAGGAAAGAACCAAAAGAACATATTTGAATCAAACCCCTTATCCACCGTCAGGTAACCTGCAAAACTTTTTATGTTTTTAAAACCGTTGAAATGCACTTGTGCAGCATCTTGAGCGTCTTTTATTTTATTCTGTTCAATAAGAGGTGTTAAAAAGAGGGGTACTCCCGGATCTCCATTCAATTTTTCATTTTTAATTCTTGGATATACGTTTGGAAAAGATGCACTTGCAATAATACCCAAACTAGCAAAAACAATGCAAATATTCAAATAGGCCATAATATCAATTGTGCGAAATACAGTAAACACTACTGACTTTATTTTATTGAGTATTATCAGAGTATTTCATAACGGAATTAAAAATAAATGTCCCGGGCTGCAAAGGTTATCTCTACGACAGAATAAAATTTATCTAATTTAGGCAGTTTATACTGAGATTTTTAATTCATCTATTTCCACAGATAAAGGATTGGTAAATCTTATGTGCCTTGGGCGTGATACGCAGTGCGTTAATTTCGCCTTTGAAAATGGCGCAGATTCTATCGACTTCCTTCTTGTTTGGGCACTCATTTCAAATCCAGAACGGAAGAAATATATCAAATTCAAAATCAAAATTCCTTGTAGTCATTCGTCGGACCATGCCTTACTTATGTTGGAAGAAAGGAAAGAAAAGAGCATATTGTTTATAAATATAATTAGGGTCTTGAGGTTCCCCAAGATATAATAAATAAGGTCATTGAAACCGGGTAGACACGATACAATCCCTACACGCATTTCTGCATGTATTTTTATCAGATAAAAATTGGTGTAAAAAATGCAAAATTGGTTTTTGATAGGTTTAGTTAAATGGCTAAACTTTATACAAAAATGTATTTAGTACGCATGTGGGTGCATGAGAAAGATTCATAATTTCCAAACGACAAGCGGGAGAAATGGAAATATTTGAATAAGTGCTGACTAAAAACCGGATCGGATGTTAGATGCTGCTACATTGGTAGGCTAATTCAAAAATTTGGAGCCACTGAAATAAGAGACAAGGCTACAGCAGTGACTGTCTTAGGTCGTATTGAACCCGGAAGAAATCAAGGCGTTCGTTACATAACATAAAAAATAAAGTAGACCAAGGTATTTCCAAGAGCTGTGTGAAATAATTGGGGATGAATGCAGAAGATTAACCCCAGCCATGTTGGAAAATGTTTGAAAAGCCATTGACCAAAGTCTCTATTACTACATTGAAGAAGATGGTCCTTTAAAAAATCTTTTGTCGCACCGAACTTATCTGTGTCAAGTATCTAAAAAAGCTTATAGCTCGATCCACTTTAAAATTAAGGAGGTACATCTCCTTTCACAATGAAAGTGGTAAGAAAATTCTAAAATGTTTTGAAAGTTATAAGAAAAAATTGTTTTTTGTAAACTTTCTTAGCCATGTCTCAAAAAATAATTGACAAAATTTTAAAATTTTAATTTAGTCATAGAGGCAGGTATCACAATGACCTTTAAAAAGAGAAGCCACGTAACCTGCCTTGCCTATCTTAATTGTAATGGTAAATCTTACCCTTTCACGGAGAAACCAATCAATGTGAATCTTGTCATAATTCACATCCAATACATATTTACACTTTTCATAATCATCTACTTTCATGATTTCAACATATTATGCACATTTTATCTACATCCAGTTTATGCACAAATTCGGGAGAAACAGTAGACACATTGCAATACATGAAAAAATACACGTAGAAATTGTGTCTTCCAGACTTTGTTTCAACACTGTTTTTTATCTCATCGATACATCATTTAATAGTGTGTGATAATGCAAATGAATATTCATTCATTAAAGTTTCTTCCAAATCATCAGGATACTTTAAAAAAAATTAAATTAATCCTGAATTTACAGCTTTGCTGGAAGAGTCTTTTAGTAAAAAAGTAGTTCTGTTTGAAAACAATCCAGAACATTAAACTTTTTTTGTTCACTACACTTCAAAATTAGTTCTAGGCTTTGGTACTGAATGATACTCCCTTATATGGCTATTTTTTGTTAAAAAACAGCTATAATTTTATTATGACAATTTTATAAAATAGTACAGTCATTTATCTTATATTTACCTTGAAGTTGCTGCGAATCGTTTATACATAAAATGGGAAATATTAATTTTCCTCAAAAAAATCAAATCGAACACCCATTAATTAGTCCTATTAATCCTCTTTCAATTTTATAAAGCATTCTACTAAACTTAGTATTTTTTGAGGTATGCACGTTTTTACCAACAACATTCCGCAAAATTTGTCAAATTTGACAAATAAAAATAAATAGGTAATTTTTTAATTTTGTGAAAAAAATGTTTTTTTTTTTCATTAATTGAGAAATTCTGCCTTTCTTAAAGCTCAAAATATTATTTAACTATAGATAATGTTTTCTGATCACATTTTTTAGTGCAAATGTAAGTTGACCATTCAAATCTAAGTATAATAGGAAATAACGTTGTGGAGCCTCATTTTTTTGAAAATACAGTAAATGCGAAAGTTTACTTAGACTTTTTTTAAAAGATGTTGCAAAATATGTTGGAGAACTATTACAAACGAAGTGAGGCAGAGAATGTGGTTCCTTGATGATGGAGCTACTGCATACCAAATAATTTATTTCCTCAACGGTGGATAGTAAGAGGTGGTCCAATTAGTTGACCACTTAGGTCCCCTGATCGAACAAAGATGGACTATTGTCTGTGGGGACATGTTAAGGGCCAGGTGTACAAAGCTGCCCCCATAACAAAAGAGGACATGAAACAGAGGGTAAGAGAAGACTTTCAAAGTGTTAGTCATGAAATGCTAGCGAGTACTGCCCAATCGTTTAAAGACCGTGTTGGAGCGTGTATCGATGTCGGTGGATCGAGCAATAAATAAAGTGAAACTTAATTAAACAGTTCCTTTTCGTTTTGCGGTTTTGGTCTTAGTTTTTAAGTGTTTTTTCTGGAACTACTACCAATATTAATATTGTATTATTATTATTATCCTTAACTTAAAATACTTTTTAAATTGATATTCCAAAGTTACGCAGCTTAATAATTTTATTTTTGTTTAAATCTAGGATTTAATAAATTATTTCCGCATTACAGTTTATATTAACATGCAACGAATGCTATTATCTGAAAAAATTATACTTAATTCGTCTTTTTAGACGTTTCACGTTCAGGTAATATTTATGTTGTTCTCAGTCTTTAGTGATATTTTGGCACGATTTGAAAATTTTCAGTGTGTTCTTAAAAATGTGTATACCTTATACCTGTATACCTGCATACTAAAATTGAAAGAGCGTCAATGGAAGTATAATTTACAGAGTGTTCCATTTGATTTTTTCACGAAAATTAATACTGTTCATTTTGACTCACCCTGTATAAATGAATAGAACTAACTCCAAGGCAAGTATAGGATGAATGACCACTTTACAAAATTGTTGGCATAATAAAATTACAGTTATCGAAAACGGCGTCAACAATATGGGGTATTAATAAACACATGGGATTTTTACGAAAAAGTGGCCATAAATCCGAATTTCAAAATATAGAAATTTGGTTTCCCACATATTTGTGAATCACCTTGTATACTACTTTAACACACTATTTTGATACCCTAAATTTTTTGATATCTATTTTTTTAAAGATTCTGTGTCATCCCATAATAATCGGGCTACCAGGTAAAACATACCAATTAAACCTACATAAATATAGCGCTGACATTGTGAATCGATGCAATTTTTTGGAGAGTATACCTATTTTACATTATACAATCTTTAAAGTCATTTTTGAATGAAACAATTCGTTGAAAATGGGTTTCTATTTGTTTCAGTTATAGTTTCTATTATTTACCATGAAATACAACCAAACAAAAAAAATAAAAATTGAGGATTTGAAAAGAATTTAATGAAATACGACGTAAATAAAACGCATTAAAACGAAAAGGTTAAATGTGATAACAATTGGTTTAATTCCAGATATTATCAAGTTACTTGGAATAATAAATATTAAGTAATAAGTGGTTGGTTTCTGGTAAACTTGGAAATGAGTTCTAGTGCCCGAATAGGCTGGTCAACCGGCACCATATGTCCAGCGCTCAATACTAATACTTCTGTCAAGTTGCCGGCTTCTTTCACGTAACCTGCCAAATCGCCGTCCACGAACCACTGATTTCTATCCGCAAGTGAATATTCCTCGGCAGCACTAAATGACAAATTTTTAATGACATTTTCCGTAGCCGGATACGGTACAATAATATCCAATTGTCCGTTGTAAATTAGCACTCTATAGTTGTCGAGGAGTTCTGAGATCCACGGAGCTACGCTCTGCATAAAATCTTCCAGCAACTGCAATTCAATGTCCAGCGCAATAGCGTTGAAAGTATTGTTTCCAACGTGAATCGCGGATTTTACGTAGTCTTGTTGCACGTAAGATGAGAAAAGCTGTATATTGGCAATGGCGGGTTCTATAGGGTGCAGCAAATTGAAATAACCATCGAAACCTGTGAGATTTTTATATAGGGTCGGAACAGTGGTTCTATCGCCGTTTATCAGCAAGTCAAATTGCTCGAATGCTTTCACGAATTCGCCTTTCGCGATATAATCGACGATCCTCTCTTCGTATTCGTGTACGCTGTCCAAACCGTATGAATCAATGTAACAGTTGCAAAAATTGCAGCAAAGCTTCGTGCAGATCTTCACCGACTTTGGTTTCATTTTGAGCATACCCGTCTCTGGTGTAGCTGTATCCAGTGCCGACAGGATTGTCTACATACAATACGGAATGGTTCTTGGTCCAAGATGTAGGTCGCGGTTTCACGCTACTCTTCGTCTCTATTTGAACAGGACCATTTATGACAAAGAGTCCGAGTAAACTAGAAGCCCCCGGACCGCCCTGCAACCACAAAATCAGCGGTGCGTGTTCGTAGTCGTTTTCAGCTGGGAAAAACCAGAAGAATAAGTTGGAATCGTGGTCCTTATCCACCGTTAAGTAACCCGCGTAACTTTCTATATCCGGAAAATCGCTGACGTTAACTTTCGCGGCGGTTCGTGCCTGATCCGTTTGATTTCCTTCAATCAGAGGAGTCAAAATTAGAGGGGCCGCCAGGTTTAGAGTTTCATTTTCAATCGATGCACCTTCACTTGCGATCCCGGCCCAAATTACTACACATATTGTTAGATATTGCATTTTGTCAACTGTTCAGTCTGTCTTGAAATAACTAGATTAGAATAACTCGTTAGCCTTCTATTTTATATAAACCGACCAGACTATTAAATCAAACACCAAGTACTTACCCAAAACACTCACGCTAATTTCAATTAGAAACGCCATTTAGTGTTTCCTTTATATTTTACATATAATAAACTTTAAAATGTTGCGTGTTTTCACGTTAAACGTTACGAACAAAGACACGTTTAATTTTGATGTCGAAAAAGCCGTCTACTGCACGATACAAAATTTTCCATTTTTGATAACGTTTTATAGTCGCACGTTTGAAACGTTAAACATTATGTACACTATGCTTAAAAAAAATCTTCTCCCTGTCCCTTAAAATACCCAATTACACACTGATCAAGAGTGCGCAAAGTGTCATTTTAAAACGTCAGCTGCATTGAATACTGTTGGGAACAAATTCGAGCTTTTTCGGTACTTTAGTCACGGGTTTAAGCGCGACGAATATATTCGGTTTTAAACACTAATGATATTTTGACGGTTGTCAGTTCTAATTATCATATCCGACGTCACTCATTGTCGTTCCGTTCTCGTCAAATCAATTTCGTGACTAAAGTGAAGTTTATCAAACTGGTTGAGTATATTACTTAATTTAATATTACTTTTACCGTTAAATATTTGTTTCCTTTAATGTGTTTATTAATAATAATCTTAATATAACAGATTTATGACAGACCAAAATGCTTAGATTCAGGTAAACATAAATAACCATCTTCTTAGGTGCTTTTGTTTCCATCGTTCCCATTGTTGGACAACTTTCGAATATTTTTGCAATGTAAAACTGATACATTCATTCACTGACTGACATCTGAGAACCATCAGAATTCACAAACGTCAAAATTCAAGCCGTGGGTAATATCTCCGAACACATCCGATTGATTCACAAAATAAAAAAAATACTAAATAATATTTATTAAGACGAATGGGCTTTTTATCCACTTTTATGTCATGATTCAGTACTTTTGGAAGATACTAAACTGCATCATGTTTGGTATATAACCTGCCAATAAGCGTGAAGTATATTTGCGCTGTGGGTTCTAAAGAAAGGAGAGCGAAGTAGACATGAAGATAATGTAAAAATGTAAAGTAAGGTAATAAGGCAGTACTTACAAAATCGCGTAAAAACAATGCCATAATATGTAATAGACAGCCATTTTGTTGCTGTATTAAGTTTAAAATAGTGAAATGATTACTTCGAGAGTTTTACTGCATTGTAAAGTTTGCTGGTAATTTTTTCTTTAAGACAAGGCCTCTTCTGTGGCACTGGCATTCACAAACTAACCAAAATATTTTCTGCTTCGCACGAACCCAGTCTACTATAACACGAATTCTTTCCTAGCAGCCCACAACAGAAAAAAATAGAAACAAGGGTGTTGTAGCAGTTTTATGCAAATCTGTACATTCAACGATTACTGTGTAATATTAGAATATATTTAAACAGTACCACCATGATACGTTTTATTTCAGTGGAATATATGTAATATATCTATCATTAAATTTAAATTTCAGAAGTAAAGTCTATTTAACTACATTACAAAAATTAATAAATTTTTGTCTTATTGGAACCATCGTGAATTTTATTGTATTGGAAATAGTATATTATGCAACAAGTGTGGTGAACGGCATTTGGGTCACGAGTTTATTTGGCACGAGCGGAGCAACTTTTTAATAACGGAGTGACTAAAAAGGTTTACCAAACGTGTTGCATACTATACTTTTTCTACGACCCTTACTTTTTGGGTACATTTTTGGCAAACAACACATTTACTGACATGACCGTCAGAATTGACAAAGGGCCTTGGATCCGCGGGAAAAGAAACTCACGTGGTAAAGTGACGCTTCCCGCACTCTAGATCGGTGTATAATTAGGTATTTTCTAATCTAATGCGACAAATGCTAGAAATTGTAAAAATATCTGATTTGTTTTTGCCGATGGACTTATATAAGGATGAAATGTTGATAGCGTGCTGTCGAGAAAACTAAAAAAAATCCTGTTACTTTCGAAAAGGCGCTTTTCTTTTTTTTATGTTATTTAAAGAGATATAAATATATAAAGGTGACTTTCTCGTTACCACTTTTTGAGCTCTATAATATAGCATTGTGTTAGCAGTTATATTTATTATATAAAATATGTATAATATTGTAATATAAAGTATTACTATTATTCAACAATTAATATTGTTTATTTGAAAGGCTTTTATAATGTGATTTATTATATCATTACTGTTGGACGTACCTACGTAGTTCCCAGGGTGGCTCATAAATATTCATACACACGAACTAATCATCCCCGCACCACGTGTTTATTATTAAGGTGGCGAAGCACCGACAAAGCAAAAATGCCTACGAGGGCCACAAGGGTGACAACGGGTTTGCTTTTCAAAATCATAATCTTTACGATCGTTGGTACGTTCAACACGCCCGCGATATATCGAAGTAAAAATAGACAGTTTGACTTGTTTCGACTATTTTTTGGTATGCCATTAACAATAATTGAGATATTTTGAGTACGCCGTTTAGTTTCGGCGAAATCATCATCAAATGTATCCTATAATTTATATGATTCTACGTTGTTTAAACCACAAAAACGGGTTTTTAATTTTTTTTTTACGTTTTGGTGTAGTAGGCGCGGACATGATGGAAATTTAAAAAAAAAATTATTCACATGGTACTTGCCATTTTTTAACGTTCTTGCTGCGTCTTTTTGCTGTTGGTTCTTTTTTGCTATACAAAACTTCGTTCTTGGTAGTTTTAAAACCATTGCATTTGCAATCACATTGGTAACGAAACCCACCGGGAATGAAACTGGACCTAATGATTCTAATCAACTTAGAGGAGCTACTTATTACTACAATTGCAAATTTTTGCACATAGTAGGTTTAAAATAAAAGCCGATTTAAAACAGAACTCAGCATTTTAAAAACCAGAATTTCATGATACTTACATATTACTTATTTTTTAGTAACGTCCTCTACAAGCGTAAGCAGATAGGCAATTGCTTATGCTATTAATTAGTTTGATTTAAAATTTGTAGACATTTATTGCATACAAGAAACTCATAACGTTTCGAGTGGACGAGATGGCATCAATAGGCGCCCTCGCAAAAGCCGGTCGAGATAAATAGCTTCTATATGATTCCATTGTCTTACCGTTCACGTTCATATCTCGCCTGCAAATATAGAACGAAATTCAGGTAGATCTCCCTTCACGTTGGTAGATTAAAGACTTTGACCTTTTGTTACAGTTATTTTGGTTGCGAGTACAATAAATTTTGCTTGAAATGTAAATTTTTATTACCGAACAATATTATCATCATGGAAAAATAGTTGTGTGGAGATTTGGAGTGTTTATGTTTGTCACAGTAACGTTATTACCAGTAGGCAAAAAGGGGTCGTATAGCAATCCTTGGGAAGCGTGTAGATGATGTAAAGTAAAAAAAATCAATCCTAGTTGTTGACAATGGGCTATGAACCACAGTAATCCCCTCTATTTACTTCTCTGGGTCAAGACTACTAGGATCACTCGGCTATTTATAACAATAGTTGGTAGTTTCTTTATAGAGCTGGAGGGTGCCTTTATTAAAAGAGACTGGACGGATCCATTACCCTCCGATAGGAACGGAAAGAACAATTAAACGTTATTCAAAAACCTTGAACTGATGACAAAAAACGGCCTCCCCGCACCCCTGCGGACCGACCGGGCCCATCCGGCCTCTATACCGGCGTGGACGATAAAAAACAGCGGTGCCGACGACGATTACTTCCGATTTCATAAATTTAACTACGATTACTACAGATTCTGTCGAGAGCGAACAGAGGTTAAACCGCCATATGCAGTGCACCGACAAAATCGCCCATAGTAATCTCTCTCTCTCTCTCCCTCTCTCTCCTTTGCTCTTTACAAACTGTTAGGCTAGACTACTACCCATTACCGACTTCCGTCGAGCATTTTCGCTTTTGATCAATGACCAACACGTACGAAGAAAAAATATAACCAAAATTTGCTCAGCTAGCAAAAAACGATTTTGACCGATACCAAAAAAAAATCGGCCGCGGACCATCCGGGCCCATCCGGTCTCCATACCGGTGTGAACAGGGAAAAACGACAGGGCCGAGGACGATTATCACTTTTAAACATACACTGAATACTCAAAACACTAAATCCACACAGTGGAAACCAATATCAAACTTTTGGGCACGAATACAAGGGATTCTGTCGGGAGCGAACGGAGGTTAAACCGCCGCTTGCAATGCTCCACCACAGAATCCCTCCCCATAGTAATCTTGCTTATCCTATATGTATTTAAAACTTGAAAAAGGAAGAAATTTTTAATTTCTAACCTAGAACTAAAATATTTTTTTGTTTTGGTACTTACGCCATAAAATGCTGGAAAGAAATGCAAGTAAAGAAATGTATCTAAAAAAAAAAACAAATTCATAAAACAATTCAAATTGTAGTGCACATCAGTATCTGTCAACTTTGCCGTGCCTCTTCTACACGAAATTGTTACTAGATGTGCGAAGCTCATTCCAAAGGATAGAAGGACAATATCGGAATGCAATTTGACCGTTAAAACTGGTAAATTTAGCAAATGCGAAGATAATCAAATCAAAAGAAACTGGACCGATTTTATAAAGGTAAAATTAATTAGGTTAAAGTTGGTGTAACTATAATAATTTACTTATAAAAATCAAGAATTGGTTTGTTTTAGGAGCATAATTTAAGGGACGAGCCATCACACTTTTTCAATTTAGACTCCAAAGTATTAAGCAAAGGTAACAGAATAAAATTCCTACAGCATCTCGCACAAAACTTGCCTGATAGAACATTATATAGTGTTTACCAAAGGTTCAAGAGACTTTTTAATAAACAACACTCAGGCAGGTAAAACTTCATTAATTAATTAAATCACATGGATTTTTTCCAACCTATTCTACCTGTCATCTACTCTGCTTGATGAAATATATTCTTATATATTTTTGTAAACTAGGTATATATAATCCATTAATGTTATATATTTTATCACAAGTTGATAAGTTATACAAGTATTTAAGTGTTTTGGTATGGTTGGCTTGGTATGTGACACTATGTAGGTATATCTACAAGATTCAGCATTTAGCATAGCAAAATTAACTTCCACAGGCTTTTGTAATAGCAGCACTGCATCGGTTGTTTTTGAGTTGAAGTTGTTAAGGTTTTGCCAATCCTGTTGGCTTTTTCGGAGTTTAACTGAAGTTTGAACTCAACAGCAACTGACGCAGGAGGAATCCAGAAGTTTTGTAAATAGTAGGATAGCAAAATAGTAAAATACAGTTTTAATTGAACAAAGAACATTTATTACAAATTTCTGAAATATACCAAATATAAAATATTTTGCTCTATGGAATGAGAGATTAAAATTATTTCCACTTTTTAACCTTATCCAATTTACCATCAGGAATTCAGTATTTCAGCTTAAAATTCACATATTTTAATATGTCAGAGTCAATGTAAGTCCATTTTACAATAAATATTTCATAGAGTTAATATACAAATTCAAAAAGCCAACATGAAAACCATTCATTGCAGAAAATAAAAGAAGCTAAGGTTGGCTTGTGTGTTTTTCATTAATGACTAGGTGGTGACAAATATTGTGTGGCTTCTTTAACCAAATAATTGGGTCTCTATAAATTAGAAATTTCATCTACACACATTATGTCAATGCTAAAATCTAACATCTGCATTGGCTTGTGATCCTGGTTAACAAAGCTGACATCTTATTCCGCGTGTCCATTTATCCATATATCCAGCAAGATGATATATAGTAGTTGAAGGCAGTCCAAAGGAGATAAAATTATTAATAATTTTATATTTCATTATTAACTAACAGAAAGCAACTAGGGGATGGACCATCTAATTAACAAGCTAAGATTGTTTGCTTTGTAATATCAGATTAGTTACTTATAAACCTTATGGCTGTTGGTTTAAATGTTTCAGTAAATAAATTAATTTTGTATATAAAGTACTTGGCAAGGATGCCCAGGTATTGCTATTGTGTAGTTAAGTGTATATTTAAGTATTTAGGACATTTTAAGAAGTAATAAGTAATTAAGAAAGGTACGGATCAGATCTAATTAAAGGAATGACCAACCAATTAGTGTTATCTGTTTCACAAAAAGAGAAACCATGCACTTATTTCGAAAACTTTCAACTCCATTCACCAAATCAGTTAAAATCCCACCACCTCCAAAAAAATCTAAGCTAAGCAATAGGAACTTGGACCCTATGCACTGAAAGGGATAAAACCCACTTTAAGGTGACATATTGCGTTTGCTTGATCAGTACAGACACCCTTATCTCCGTTAGACTGTCGTTTTATCCGAATGAGGTACCGAGAATAGATACTGTGTCCCCAAAAGTGTTATAGTGGTTCATGACACCCAATATATTTTTTTAAGTTTAAGTTGTTGTAGGTTCACACCAGATGAGGATAAGTACATCCTTTCGGCACTAATTAAATACCGTCATGTTAAACACCACATTCAGAAGATCGCGCAGGATTTGAAACGGACTAGAACTTCCGTTGAACAGAGGGTACTTTACTTGAAGCATGAATACAAACCAAGGGGTGTGTGGCGGAATGACCATATAGAAAAGTTTATTAAAAACTTGTTGATGGTTACTCAATGTCAATATACAGAAGAACTTAAACAGAGAACTTTGACCAGCATAGAGTGGAAAACTTTATCAGAAAAACTAGACAATACACCCATGAAGATACTTCAAACTCTATGGCAAGGCAAAATATACCCCATGTTGTTTATTAAAGATGATTTTTGCAACTTGAATCAGATTAAAGTTGAAATTGTTACCAAGTAAGAGATTCCTATGATATATTATGTTTAATAGCTTAACCTAACTTCAAGGTCCTGTGACTTTTCAACTCGGAGAACAGGAGTTGCCAGGGCTATTAAAATAATGTTGCATATATAATGACTCTAGAGGTGATATTTAACTCTTCTACAGTTTGACTGATTTACTTTTTTAGGATGTATACTAATCGAGAAGCAGATTGGAAAACAGTGGATTGGAATTACTATGCGTCACAATTTCCAGGATTTACTCCATTAAAGATATACATGTTACTAAAAAAATTAGTTGTCAAACTTGTGCCTAAGGAAAATCAAACGGAATTGGAAGGTAATATATGTAACAAAGATTATTAATTATTTTTCAAAGAAACGTCCACGGGCTACTGGAATGCCTTTTATAAAACTTCTGGATTCCTCCTGCGTCGGTTTTTGTTGATTCGAGCTAGCTACCGTTTCGCCAATCATCCAGTTTCAGTCAAGCTCTGAAGAAGCCAACAGGATGATTAGCGAAACGTTAGCTAGTTTGGGTCAACAAAAACCGACGCAGGAGGAATTCAGAAGTTTTATAAAAAGTATTTTTCAAATATATTGTAATTGTGGATGAAAAAATGGTGCAAAATAAATTTGGCTCCAAAGTTCGAACTTACAAAGCTAATAAAAAATCCAAATCGCCTGGTTTCTTTCTTCCAAAAATCTTTAAGTTCAAAATGAACAACTAAAATTGTTGAAAAATTTCTGATGTCCTGATTAGAGAGGTTATTTGGATACTATCTCGAAAAACAAATGTTTATTTTTAATTTTAGATTGTCTGAAGATCCTGCACGAAGCATTTAAGCGTGGAGTAAAACTGAAAAAACACAAGATAAACAAGATAGTTTATAAAGATGGAAAATTGTTGGAAATGTAAAAAAAATCTGGTTGTATTACTATTATGTGATAAGTACATTTTCGTTAAAATCATTAACATTAAAGTCAAACATTAAAGTTCTTAGTTTATTTAAGCTAATTTTTAGCATGACAATGAATTGGGTATATTCACCATGTTAAATATTCCTTAATTTCCGTATCTTTAATTAATTAATAGTACATTATGCAACAACTGCGGTAAACGGCAAAGTTTACTATACTTTTTCTACGACCTTTAGTTTTTGCGTACATTTTCGCAAAACACGAATACATTCACTGACATGACTGTCTAAATTGACAAACGTCAAAATTGAAAGCGTGGGAAATATCTCCGAAAACACCCGATTGATCCCAAACCCGTGCGGTAAAATCCCGGAAATGTCCGAAGTGGAAAGCGACGCTTCCCGCACGCTAGATCGGTGCGTAATTAGGTATTTTACAGACGGGAGTAGAAAAACAATAAAATTCAATGCTATAAACAAAAGTAGTGCATTACAAAATCCCAAAAAATAACCAATTCAACCGTGACCTGAAGATATGATATTTAGTCTCTGTGCTACGTGACATACCTACATTTTAATCTTTGATCTATACAAAACTAACTAAAAAACTAAATTTACACTGTGTATCGGCCTTTTTTTCAATTTCATTTGGATATAGCTAGTTCTACAAAAAAAAGAGAATAATTTTATCATTATTAATAATATGATAATCTAATTAATCAACCACTACATGAAAATACAGTAAACTCATTCTTAAAAGGGACAAAAACGAACTTGCAAGAAATATATATTTTACAATTGTGGAAATAGTATATTATGCAACAAGTTTATCATGCGTATTGCATACTATACTTTTTCTACGACCGTTAGTTTTTGAGTACATTTTTGCAAAACAATACGAATACATTCATTGACGTGACCGTCAGAATTGACAAACGTCAAAATTAAAACCGTGCCGTTAAATCTCCGAAAACATCTGATACCTCGCAAACCGGTGCGGTAATATCCCGGAAATGTCCGAAGGGGGTCGGATCCGTTGGACAAAAACTCACGTGGTAAAGTGACGCTTCCCGCATGCTGTATTAGTGTATAATTAGTTGTTTTACAGAAGGGAGTAGAAAAACAATGTTTCATTAATTCTGTTTTAACTGGCATTATACCGATAATACATAGCATATACTGCACCTAATATTGCTTAATGGTGAATGGGTAAATTTGCCAATTCGGTTGCCACACAATAGTGCAGGTACAAAAGTGTGTTGCGTCGAACTGAACGTTGAAAATAATACCCCTTATTAGGTGAGCTGATACTACCACTCATGTTCGAATTGCGGAATTTTGAGCAGTAGGAAACCTAAAGTGTTGGTAACAAATCTGCCAACAATACTCCTGTAGATCAATGCTATTACCAATCTACTAGAAACAGAAAAACAAGAGACTTATTATGATGAAACTTCACTATGACCATCAGCAGCATTTGAGTGATGCCGTTTATGAAATAATTGGTGATTTGAACAAAAATCTATTAAAGAAGGCAATTTTGGTTACTTTTATGTCACAAATGACAGGAAATCTTTATAGGTGAATTGAAATCAGTTACTTAATTTTGAGTCCATCTGAATACTCAGATTATTGTTTTTGGCGGCCAAGTATTGAATGTAGAGGCTATTAAAATAAAAATAAATGAATTTTGCTAATTAAAATAAAGTTCGATATGTTTTATTGCCGATTATTTATCATTTGCGATTTTGTTTGCTGTTTATTTTAGCGTTTGAGGATGACTGAATATTCAATTCAATTCAAACCGAGCGAAACTTCATATGCCTTATCCCAACATATAGATAATGATTTCCGTACCTACTTCTACAATACCCCAGAAAACTTTTAAAAACAAATTAAATGTGATAATTAAAATTGGAAGTAATAGTAAAATCTTGATGTCTATGAAAAATTTTCTGGCTGGTCATCCATTAAACAATTTATTTTCTGCATTTTATAAGCACGTATTTGTTTAGTTTGGGTTAGTTTTTTATATGAAGGTGTAAAAATTCTGGCATAAGTCTGTGTAAACTAACCAATAATTTCGAAAACTAGAAAAAGTACTGCAATCTTGGCGCAAGAATGGCCTAACATGAATAATGCATGAACATTTGGAATTTTGGTACTTGGTCTATAAATTTCTTGTTTTAATATTAAATACGTAAAATACCCTATAGACAATCGTTTATTAAAGACGCCGTCTGCTAGTACCAAGACAAACATTTGACTTAAATTTCTTTTATCAAACTTGTTACATAATATACTATTATATTCACTGTAATTGGGGCTAAGTCCTCTATAGAAATTATTTTCCTAAGTAAATGAATAAAAATCATTAAATTTGACAGTTCCCTATATTTTCCTCTATTTTACTACAAGAATCTATCATGAATCTATTCTAGGTGAAAGTATAATCTCTAAACTTACAAAAATTTTCCTATGCAACAGCACTCTGTCTGCCATGTTCTGGGCTGTGGTTGCGTCACGTATTATATTTTTTAACAAAAATGGCAATGATCAAAAAAGAAAATGTGAAAGCGGTTCCAAAATTATGGTCCGGGAACGACCGCAGTTGTGGTCTTTGCTCCGGTCGACCCGCTAGCTTTCCTATTCCAAACTCTGATAAGAGAACGATGCCGGTTACTTTAGCGTGGCATTGTTATCAACTGTTGGGAGGGCCAAAGCCAATTGGCAGATCCATTGTGGCTGTTTAAAAGCAACTTTTAGCGCCTTTTTAATGACAGTTTAGTTATATCCTGATTGAATGATTTCAAGACTACAATCACAGCATAAACTAAAGGGGGCACCTCTGCTAGCCGGTGGGAAACCAATTCATTTCCTCTTCCCCTTGGTTGCTCCAAAACCAGATGGTTCTAACTTGAAAACTTTGAATGAATTAGCTAAAAGCTTTAATTTCAAATTTAAATTTTAACTTTGCCAATTAAACTGCATCTCTTTTGGTAGGCTGTGGTCCTTGTACTTTCACAAAATTATTTAGGTCCGTTTTATATTATCGGAATTCAAGCAGCTCTTTCCTTTTTCCAAGTTTTCTGTTTTCCTCTGAAAAGCTGGGTTTGGAGTTACTAGAGCAAAAAAGAATGACCCAAAATATTTAGAATTCTCAGACTTTCTAAATAAGAGACTTTGCTAGTTTCTGTTGGACCGCAGTACCTTATGGCCTGCTTTACAGAAAAGGATTTAAGAGGGCAAAATATTTAGTATTGAATTAGCTGCCTCTAAGTCTATGTTGCATACTAAAATATATCTGTGGAACTTGAAGCAGATTTATTACGTTTACGTTTCATTGTTTGACCATTAAAGCCTTTATATTTTTGAGGTAAAGCTCTAGAAGAACCAGAGGAATATCCTCATCTTAATGTATTTAGACAGTTGTGGTAGTGGTGCCAAAAAATGTTTGGTTGTCTTTTAAGCATATGTAAGTTCAGGGGAAAACCACAACTTACCGTCATATACACAAGAACCAAAGCAGGAGAATGGAAAATAATAATAAATATGAACAGTTGTTTCTTGGTTTAGGGGCCCTGATACTTTTACGATAGATGCGGCGAAATTTATAAAAAATATAAAACTTATTTAAGTTAATTCTTATAGTTTGTAGTGGATATCCCATTTTCAAATTGAAATGATTTATTGCAATAACGTACCTATATCTAGAATCATTAAAAATTCACTTTACCACTTTTTTGAATATTTATTTCATACGAATAGTATTTTATAGTCTTGTAATAAACATGCTACTGTAATACTTTTTATATAACTTCTGGATTCCTCCTGCGTCGGTTTTTGTTGACTCGAACTAGTTTTTTGAAACTGTCAAGCTCTGAAGAAGCCAACAGGATGATTGGCGAAACGTTAGCTAGTTCGAGTCAACAAAAACCGACGCAGGAGGAATCCAGAAGTTTTATAAAAAGTTTTATAGAGTTGTTTATAATATTTTATTATGTATCAAGTTTAATAAACTCAACTCGATTTTGATTTAGTACGAGCAGAGTGCAACGGACTGAGTGTTCATAGTCGTATAATGTACGAGTGATTGCAGAAGTTAATTAATGTGTTGTATAGTATACTTTTACTATGACCATTACATTTTTGCAAAACGGCACGAATACATTCACTGAGTGATGTGTGATGTGACCACAGCACTGACATGTAAGACTACTATCCGTGACTAAAAATCTACACAAAACATCCCATCGCTCCCACATTCAAGAATATGGAATTATGCGCTGATCAGGGGTCTGGGAAGTGTCACTTTAAGAGGTTAACGTTAGCTTCGTTACCCACTGTGGCGAATCAATTCCGGCCATTCTAGTGCTTTGGTCACGGGTTCAGATGTTTTAGATCGATTTTAGCCACCGATGGTATTTTGACGTCTCTCAGTTCTGATACTCAATGAATGTATTTGGGCTCTTTTGCAATAATATATGGAATAACTAATAGCCATAGAAAAAATATAGTACTTGTGAAAACACGTTGATAAGCCGCTTATCTAATAGCAACCCCGCTCTTCTCCCCTCTTGGAAAATCACATATGCAAAATAATATACTACAAAGAAAATATAATTTTATAATGACAGTTACAAAGAGAAATGTTTATAAAACTGCTTGAATATGTTTTAAGATATATTTAATATATTTTTATATATATTACAAAATATGAAAATATAACAGAAATATATAATATAAAACTGTGTCAATTTTGCAATTATAGCTATCGTATTAAGATATTAAAACGTGTAAGTTGTCTTATATTTTTTTGAAAGGACAACGTATAGTTTTTGCGAAATAGTTTCTAGGAATTATAAATGCAAAATTTAGTAAAAGTTTTTTCATCTGTCTATGGGTAAGTTCCGCTGCACTTACAAAAACTTTTTCTAAAACGGACCTATTACTTCATTGTCAAATATTGTAATATGCTAGAACAAAGAAGCCGACACAGATAGCTGATTTAACTTGTTTGATTGAAAGATCTATTTTAGGAGGCGAAATTTTCTGAAGATTCATATTTCGGTTTATGTATTAAGTTGCTCTGAGGTTGTTTTCCATTAAATGAGGCTGCCATAAAACAGGTAAAATAAATGATTCCAATCTCGGGAGAAGAAATATTCCGCTCCCGCAATTCGTAGTTTATGTTACGTTCGCCGCAGAAGGCGCTCTCTCGGAACTTTGCGAGCTTCCATTTATCAACACGTCACGGGAATCTCAAACATAGGAGTACGTTCTAAAATGATTCAACCGCGTGAAGATTATCGACGAAGGGGAAGAAATTATAAATAATACTGCCTCCAGTTTGTTGCTTTAATGCTTGTGCGCAACTTCAAAGCTGATGTATGCATGATGTCTGGCATACGCGATTTTTCTGAGCACCAATACGTTTATAGTACATAGTGTGGACTTGTACAGTGAGTCGCAAGCATGTGTGTTGCGGCTTTCGTTACTCTACCAACCAACACTAAACTTGAGTTTTTTTAAAGCGAACACCCTGTATGTATTTTAAAAATTTTATTACGTTTGTTGTAAGCTTTTGCACAAATATGTAACACGTTAGAGGTATTTCAAATAAAAAGCATACGTCTTTCATTTTATTTTTTTTTATAAGTAGGTTTTCCTTAAGTACTTTAGTTTTCAAATAGACGTGACTTTCGTAATTTTTATCTCACCTTCTGTCTGCTGCTTGTTTAATATTGGACACACAAGTTTATTTTGACCATTTTTTTTAATAAATTATGTAATTTACATAAATAGAACATCTGTTATCCATGAACCACCCACAAAAAAATTGAATTAAAGATATTTTAAGAAGCCAATAACAAACGTAATAAAATTATTAATAGACATACGGGGTGTTCCGTTAAGAAAACATGAGTTTAGTTTGTATATCGTATTTTATAAGTTTCAGAGGAAAAATGACTAAGACCGATCCAGGCCAGTTTTCACCATTTCGATAAGTTAAGGCGTTAGTAAGGTGCAAAGGATTTCTAAAAAAGCAAAATTTTTAAAATTAAACTCTGTAACTCAATAATATTTTTTTATTAACCAACGAGATCTTTGATTTTAAGCAATTCAATTTTAGGTGTTGGTTCTAACATTAATTTCTGATCATGATCTTGGTTGGAATAATCTGGATTAAGTAAAATACAGAAAAAATGTTGATGGGCAATAATGAACTTGAATAAAATTTTAATTTGAAAAATATTGCTTATAAAAGTAAGTTTATAGTATTAAAAGAACCATAGTTCACAAAAAAAAATAATTTCGAGGTTTTATGTAACAAATATAAGTAATGAAAAATTGTAATATTTAAATCCTCTTAAAAACGCCCAGTCATTGGCTATGACCGCTTGTCAGACTACGCGCCAGCCGGACGGTAGCGTAGAGAAGTCATAACAGAACGACAGCTTGTGTTGTTTTGGGTTTAGTATCAAAAAGAAAGGTTTGAAAATGACCTAAGCCGAATTTTTAAAAGATCAATCTGATAATTTACCTTTAGTGGATATGTTTATGGTGACATCTTACATACAAAACACCGAAAGTTTTTCTTTTGCTGAGGTAGGCGGTGTTAAAGCTAGAAAACATAGAAAATTATATCAGCTTAAAGTTTTCTAGTTTTTAAAATTCAAATGGTATATCAAATAAAATGTAAATTATTCAACAAAAAAAAACAAAAGCAATTTTTTTAAACTTGTGGAAACCTGAATACTGAAGTCTTCTTTATTTTATATAGATCAGGAAATCCTATAGAGACTACAATAGGATGAGTACAAGTTCGAAGAGTTAAAAATATTTGCACGGTTAAGGCTAAAGTGACCTAAAGTGAATATAATGTTAACAAAAAGAGAAGGCTTTTATTTTCTGGTAAACGAATAAAAAGTTTATCTGGCGTTTTACGGGTTTATACTCAGAAACGAGGGCACAATTGGTAATATTGTTTTTGTGTTGCTTCCATTATTAACATGTAAAGCAAAAATAAACGTAAATAATATAATGTCGCCGTATCGACCGGAAAGCAGCGGTATGACGTCACGATCGTTCCCGCGCGTTTTGTGTCGTTTAAAAGGAATACCCGGATGTCACAAAACTAACCTAACTGGATAATACATTTTCGGTAACATATCATAACATAATATAACATGTTGGATAAACCTGAGATTATAGGTATAATCTGAAAGCCAGTAAATAAAATATTTTCGTTTCATAGGCAAGCTAAATATTTTTTGCAATTTTGTCGTTTTACTTTTTAGTTCCTTTATCTTTTGTAACGGAGTTTTCAGTTTATCGGTTTTCTATTCTATATTTTATTACCATTTCTGCGAAGTATGCAAGAACTTCATGCAGAAACTCAACAGCAAACTAACCAAAACTAACAGCTTGGAAGTGGAACTGTATGATTGTAAAATTCTTTTGTGTTTATCATTTAGTCAACACAATGACCTATTAAGATGTAATTTAGAGATTTGAAACATTATGTGGATATTAAAATGCGTCCTATAAAGCAAAACATAATTGCATTATATTAACGTCGTGTGGAACGTCTTTCGGAACTTTTTAAGATCTGTTTGAATAAACTACGGACATTGGGATATTCAAGTTCTTGCACCTCTTATGAAATTTCACTCTTATGTCACTTTTGTCAATTTTTCTGACTTTATTTTGAATTCCGTTTCTACTACTAGATTAAGTTTGGGGTTTTTCGTTATTTGAACCAAAAATTTGTGTTTATCGCAATAGAAAATGTTTCTTAAATTTCTTATTAAGATACAGAAGAGCATTTGACCTGAATCACGATTTTCGCCTCCTGCAGCAACACTAGGTCGTCATTATCGCTAAACTGATTCGCTTTTCAATATTGTGCATTTTCAAAAAATAGAAAAGAAAACTATATGACTGATACAAAAATTTCCCCTTAAACCAGTGACTCAAACTTTTTTGGATGACGAAATTAGATGTTCTTTAGAAACAACAAATAAACTAGTGAAATAAAAATATTTGAAAGGTCGTAGTTCCAAGTACAATTAAGTAAAAACAGATCTTTTTTTTTAATTTGTTAGCCTTTCGAAAAAACGTTTTTTCAAATAAGGGATAAAGTGACCTAAAAATTTTCCTAGTTTTATTGCTCAGATGGTACCTACTATCACCATGAAAACAAGCCTTAAAAAATAGGAAGAACGTTTTAACCCAACCCAACAACCATTTTAATGTGAAAATTGTACTTTATGCTTAATACTTCGTTTTTGGGGGCTGATATACTATACTATATAATTAAGGATATAATTTTGTTCTGGGGATTTTCTCTAATATTGCTTACTTAAAAAAAAATAGTTTAGTTTTGTCTGCCTAAATATAAATACTCAAAAAACATGAAGAGAAAGTGGATTTTAATTTTGTTTTCAAAAACAAAGTAAGAAGATACGAAAAGAAGTCTAGAATCAAAAAAGATACGTAATCTAAAACGTATAATATAGGTATATAGGTTACAAAAAAGTCAGTTTTATCTTAACTGGGTCCAGCAATCACTCCTTAAAAAAAGCATCAACTAAGCAATCGCCATAATATATATTTTATTAAATTATATTTCTTATACTTTATTTATATTACATTTACGTCCTATTTATTTAAAAAAAAACACAATACCTACTTACCCAATATTAATTAGGAAAATTTTAATTTTGAAAATTTCTCCTTTTTCTTGCCCAACCAATTAAATTTTATTTCAAGTTCATCTGAAATTCAGTCAGAGCGCCTGATATTACTCTCTAATTAACCTAGCAAAATAATAAAAAACAAGGCATGATGTTGGTAGATTACAAAAAAATGTTTCGTTCAGGTTAGAATTTATCAAATCTTATGTTATATAGTACCATAAAGCTTTACTTACATGTCTTTCTTTTTTCAGTAATAATAATACCACAAAAAAATAACTGAAATGAAAGCACACAAAATACTCAAAATAGACGCCAAATCGCCCTATACCGTATACCGCAAACAAAAAGAATGCGGAAATGATGGCGGACGACGAGACGGAGGACAAGCCGACGAGACTCGAACGAGTCCGGCACGGCACGACCGTGAGTAGTTGCGTCATTGGTTGCAGCCGAACAGTGTTGTCAAATGGATGCTTTTAAACGAATATATTATTTTTACGTTTTTGTATTTTTTTTTACTTAGATGAATCCGAGTTTTCTGTGGTATTTTTATTAAAAAAGCGTTCCTTGTCTCGTTCGTGTCCAAAAATAGTAAAAGCAAATTGATTTTAAAGGTTTCATTCCGTTTTTTTTAGGACTTGCTAACACTGAGGTCGATGTAGATGTGCACGACAACATTGCCAATAAAATGTCTCCCTGAGTATTTTCAGTTGTTCAAAATTTAACTTTTTAAGTTTCACTTTGTTTTACGTTTTTTCACTTTTTTGCCTTATTTTCAATGCCTAATGTTCAAATTATGGCGCAGTGGGATATCCTCAGGCCATCTATTTTTAGAGGACATCTGTGGTATATCGTGTACAGTAAATCCGCAAGCTATCCATTCAGAGGATATCCCTGGGATGTATTTTACAGTATATCCTTAATGTATATGCTAAGGTATATCCTAAGAATATTCTCGACATGTCCCGGGACATGCGACTTGAATGGAACATTGACCGGATATACTGAGGATATTGTGTGCTATCTGGGATCGTGGACATGGCAGTCGTCAACGTTCAATAGGGACATGTCAATTGAAGAAGAAAATACGTTTGTTCCAGCTGGGTATTCCTAATCCTAATTATTTCACTCTCATAAGTGAAATTTTTTAAAGACAAACACATTTCCCCCATCCCTTTCGTTGGACCACAACGAGACCAAATTATCATTATATCCCTTCTATCGCGGTCGTAAATCTTCCGTGTCGACGCCGGGACGTTATCAAGCACGGCAAAAAGTTTCCGACGCTGCTGCCGCTGCGACACCGCGCGCACGGAGCTCCTGTCGGCGTGCTTTAAACGACCGTAACCATGACTACGCTGGAGCACATCTCCGGCACCAGCGAGACTGCGTCGTGAATCGCGGGTATCCGTCGCGCCAACGCTACGAGCTCTGAGAACGGAAAAGAAAGAACAACAAAGTCAACACACCCTGCCTGGGACTCGCGGTTGTTTCCACGGTGCATCCTCCCGTGTTGTTGTCGCGCGTATTATCGCTTTGGCGCGATCGACATATACTCGCCTACTCCGCCTTTTGTTTACGGGCGGAGAGTTTTGTTCTGTAACGCAGCCATAATTCGGGTCATCGTAAAATTTCGTTCGCGATTCAATTATTGAAGTACGTTTCGCGGGGTTTCTCGTCCAAGTCTCCGTCGAACCGGAAGTTGGATATACCTCCGCCACTCAAATTGTGACTGGGATTATGGTGGGAAGTCCTTTTGACCGGTAAGAGTGGCGAGCATTGGCATTTTTATTAAGTACCTAGTTCTTAAGCATTGGTTTCCCAAAAGGGCGGGTGAGGCTACCCAATGACGTGCGATTGGCTAAATTAAAAGGTCTTCGGAGGGATATTGCGCCGTTCGCATTGCCTACGTCAGAAATTTTGTTTTGGATCAATTATTTTCTTTTTGGTTGATTAATATTGAAATAGTTAGGTAGGTAGATATTTTGCCTATTTGTGGGTAAGATGAAACGCCCTTAACAAAGAGCCATCAATCGAGCCACGCGCCTGAATTGGAGAGAGGCGTTGGTGAGACGCAAAGGAATGAATGTTTCTCGGTAGGTTACATTTTATACTGTGTTGTCGTACCTTGTCATGGTAATCTAGTTGGTTTAAATATCATAGAGCTATAACGTAGACATTGGGTCTTCCGTTTAAAAAAAAACAAAATTTTTAATAAGGAGTTGCATTAAAATAGGTATTAGAATTTTTTTTTTTGTTAGGGATATGTCGGTATTTTGTTGTTTAGTTAAATTTGTAGTTTGATGGTCTTGTTTTGCAATGAAGCATGAGTAGACAATTAAAACGGACTGAAATACTACAACGTTTCAAAATGAACAGAAAAATTATGAGAGATAACAACGCCGCGCAAGTGATCTTTTAAGTTGACATCCTTGTTTTTAGGTCATTTAGGTTTATGGAAATAATTCTTGGGGGTATAAATTTTCGAATTTAAGTCGTTTTTCAAATGTTTAAGAGCGGGATTAAGGCAAAAGGCATTCCATCAGAAATCTCATTCATGGATTATTAGAAAATGAGGTCATGTATGGCACTTACTGTGCTATTGTTCAGCAGTTTTGTCTTAAGAATAATAGTTATCGGGTGACACTAACTGGTGACGCGAAATTTGGACATGTTTAATATAGGCCAAATGTGCAATATTTCAGTGCGATCACAATCAATGATCCAAACGCGACCCGACAAGTCCTATCTACTGGTTATATATTGGTTTAAATTACGTTATAAACCCACGAGAACACAGTTGGTGTGATTGGAGTGATATACTTTATTGGTTTCAATTGACGTTTGTGTTGTAAATACCGCAACCTCTGTTATTTGTAATTTTAAAATACTAATATTATTGTAGGTATTATAGAGGATTTTCTTATTTTAAAATAAATTTCCAAAATTGTGATGAGCAGGTCTGATCATCAAAATTAGTGTCTGCTAAAAGTTAGCTTTAATTACGATGAAACAAGTAACGTAGTTATTCCAAGTAGTGCCATCTTAAGAAATAGAAATTAATTCTATAGTTTAGGAGAATTTTCAAAATAGAATAAAGTAGTAAATTTCCAATATGCTACTTAAAATTCAAGTTGTACTAATATTTAATAAACACTTCATAACATTAAATAAATAAAACTTTTTAATAAAAATTATCAAAGTACTGGACTCTGGGCTACCTGTATTTCCTGTATTTAAACCGTGGTTTTCATTCAAAATTAGTTCACGCTAATTATAGTCAATTAAGACGGAAATTCCGAATAATGGATCTGTTTAAGGATGCATTAGCACCTATTACGTGAATCAACCGCTGACCTCAAGGCCTCCCGTTTCGAATACCTACTGAAAAATATATGCGGGTCATGGGAGAAGAAAAAGAACGTTTTCCGAAGATGCATGAAAAACTGATTTGCACAATTTTTAAAGTGAAAATACACGGTTAGAGATTTTTTCTTTTTCAGTTAAAACCTATTTTTGAGCTCAATTACCTTCTTCCCATGTTTGGAAAACAAGTTAAGTAATGAAATTGATCAGCACATACCTTATATTGACCGCTTTACTTGTATACAGCATTCATATTAAATCTTAGTATTAAATGTTTCATTAATCAATTATTATGGTTCACATATAGGAGCGTTGTAAGTTTTAATTATTTTTAAACAGTGCTTACTATTACTATACTTTGTTTTGTTGCAAAAAATCACCAGTAAAAGATGACTAACGCTTCATGTATGTTAGTGTACTTATTTGATTTATTTTATTCGCTGTGTAACGGATGTGCACTTTCTTCTGCGTATTAAAAATAGAACAGAAACAACCGCTTTTTGCTATGCCCCGTTTCGGTCACAATTTTTCCTCCAACTGAAACTGGTAGCGCCGTCGCCGTCGGCTAGAAACAGTCTTCAACCTAAATGTAAATTAAAAAAGACACGTTTACTTTTTCTAAATGAACGATAAGCTGTACACATTCAAAGGGAAATTCGCTTCAAATGCGTGCGATGTTTTATACAGATGTGGGTTCTGCATGCGATCAACTCAATTTGTGTCTTATAAAAATAAGCTACTTTGCAGATTGGGATACTTGAATGTGATGGAATGAACCGCACAATTTTATTCTGAACGGTGAACTCATTGACTCAACGGCAAAGTCGTGCACCCGTTATTAAAGTCACCGATTAAAAATTTTGTTGTCCCATCTGTGTCCCTTCAATAAAAGATATGGCAAACACATGGTGCGTTTTATTTTTAAAGTCAGATCATAATGTACTTATTTGGCATTTTATATTCTTCAATCCATAGCGTTTTTATGATTCGGAGCATGTTACATGACGTTAAGCTGCCTATACGCTGTTACCAGGTTATGTTCATATAATGTTGACGATTTTCGAATAAGAAACCTTTAAGCGATTTCTGATGTTGAAATGACAGTTGAACGTGATTTATATATAAAAGGGACTTAATTTTACAATGATTAGATTTTATCTACGCAAAAAAAAAACAATGACTAAAAAATATCTGGTGAGCTATCGCCTTACGAGCTACTAGTTTATTTACTATTATTATCCAAATTTACAGATAACACTCAGGTGGCTGATTTCAATATGGCAAATCAGCCAATAATTTCTTTTTATTAATAATATTGAAATTGGATTAATGGAAATTGAAATTATTTTTCATATTTGACTCTTTAAACTTAAAAAAAATGTCCGAGAGACTTGTATACGTAAAGTCGATAAAAATTGCTCTTTAAAATAATACTGCTCCGGCTATTTCCTATAAAGATTTTTCATTACCCCTGATATGCTTGACAGTATTATAAATGGACTTATCCATTTTGTGAGAGCTCCGAGAAATTGAAAATGTCTGTCGTTAAAGTTTACATGGGCAAAGTTCCATTCTTTTAGGGATACAAATGGGATTCTTTGAGCGTTAGTTTCATTGTCACATTTTATTTCTATTGCCGTTTCATAACGTTGCTATTCAGTTTACTTATCGCAAAACATAAGCAGAACTTTGTAGATATTACGTGAGAGTTGTCCAGAAAAATTAATTAGAGAGATCAACCTACAATTTTATAATTATAATTATTAAACATACATATTAAACTTGAAAAGTAAAGTTGATATATTTATTATATTGAGTTAATCATGATAGATGAATATATTAATAGAAATATATAATGCTATAATATAATATATAGATTTTGAATTAAATTTAAGATTGATAATAAATAATAAATGTATTGGCACATTTAAGTTGTTAAAGCCCCCCCGCGCAGGAGCGACTTTTGACTGGCAACTATTTTGTTACGGAGATAGAATACATGGATGAATACAAGTGAACTCTTGCCGACATTTTCCAAGAAATTTATAATGCACTTTTTCAAACTCGCCGCGCCGTAGTGATGATTCCTTGGTTGCCAAGTCAGTTGGATCTTGGTCTTCAGTAGTAGATTTTGTTAAAATATTAATTCTGTTGTTATATCAGGCGCATGTTGGTAACTTGCCATGACAGATTACGAGTACCTTGTACAAATTGTCCAAACTCGCGATGCTCAGTCGGAACTAACTGAATAGTTTTACTAGGTCCTTTCCTCATTTCTTCGAACAACTGGTGAAACTGACCTTTGGAAAGTCATCGACTTAAAAGCGCAACGATCAAATTGCCCTTGCGGGGTGTCTATATAACAACGGTAACTTTTATTCACGCAATTTTTAATCACCAGCAACTAAAGTTGCTCGTGTCCGGCGGGCCTAAAGATATACTTTTAGAAAATGTATTCATTAATAAGTGACCTAAAAAGTTTATCAAACCTATACTAAACTTTTTCTACGACTGTTCGTTTTTGGGATCATTTTTGCAAAACACGAATACATTCATTGACATGACCGTCAGAATTGACACACGTCAAAATTCAAAACGTGCTGTAAAATCTTCGAAAACATCCGATTGCTCGCAAACCCGTGCGGTAATATCCCGCAAATGTCCGAAGTGGCTCGGATCCGTGGAAAACGAAACTGAGGTGGTAACGTGACGCTTCACGCACGCGGTGTGTAATTAGGCATTTTACAGACGGGAATAGAAAAAAATATTTACTCAATTGGTCCTCGCAAACTGCTTAAGATATCCATATTAACTAAGAGCGAGTAAAAAGAATTACTCTTTTCTAGCATGAAGGCTTAACGGTCTTAGTTGTAGGGCCAAGAACTATTTAAAAGATATTTTTAACAAAACTCCTCCTGCGTCGGTTTTTGCCGAGTCGAACCTGCAAAAACCGACGCAGAAGAAATCCAAAAGTGTTTTAAAAAGTATTACAGTAACCTGTGGAAGTTTCTTTAAAAAATTATTTAAAAGATAATTTATCATTAAGTATGATGATTCCCTCTAGGTTGACCCAAAGTTGAAAAGAATATGGAATTTTGATTTCTTTTTTCCAAATTTGTTAGTATTTACCCGTTTTAGATTTATTACAATTTTTCGAAAGAGAAATTTTATTTCTTACCTTCTTATTTTCATTTCTAGTATCATTTATTGCCTTATGGACGGATAAGTTATCGAACATATTGCAAATATTTTTGTTATTGATGTCGGTTAAGTTAGTTTTGGTTAGTATGTCGCGTTCCCGAGTTGTTTTCTAAAAGTGATCTTTTTTTAATGTGCATACTGTGCATTAATAGTCTGCGAACTCGTTTTTCAATATAGTAGGTTACTGTGATTCTTT